ATCTCTGTAACTGGTGTGGCAGACATCGTGAGCCGCGTAGCCTCCGGCTGGTTCTCGGACCTGGGCAAAATGCGGATGCAGCACATGCTGGTGGTGTGGACTGGGTTACTGGGGCTCTCTCTGATGCTCATTCCTGTTGCCGTGGTTTACTCGGGACTGTTGGTTGTCAGTGGGGTCTATGGGTTTTGTGCAGGAGCGATGACGCCACTGGCGTTCGCGGTGGTGCCGGAAATCGTAGGTATAGAGCGAATGCTGGGAGCCCTTGGCCTGCTGCAGCTCATAGAGAGCGTCGGAGGGCTGCTGGGAGCGCCACTGTCTGGTAGGAGCTCATGAGATCATCACAATAGTTTTATTTAAAGGAAATGTTCACTCAAAAATGAAAATTTGCTGAAAATGTAATCACCCTCATGCCATCCAAGATGTAGATAAGTTTGTTTCTTCATCGAACAAATTTGGAGAAATTAAGCATTGCATCACTTGCTCACCAGTGGATCCTCTGCAGTGAATGGGTGCCGTCAGAATGAGAGCTGATAAAAACCACAATAATCCACATGACTCCAATTTGTCTTGTGAAGTGAAAAGCTGCAGGTTTGTAGGAAACAAATCCAACATTAACACATTTTAAACCTAAAACTGTTGCTTCCGACTAAAATATGAGTCCTCTATCCATAACATTGCTCTCTCCAGTAAAAAAAATGGTCTTGTCTGAATCATGAGAGAAATATGCTCAGATCAAGCACTGTTACAAGCAAACAGTTATAAACATTTCAAAACAAATATGTTGGTAAATTTTGATGTGAGTGGACAACAGCGGATGGAATTTCTGGAGGAGGCATTATTATGGATTTTGGACTCATATTTTAGCCAGAAATGACGCTTTAAAGTTAAAATGCCTTAAAGATGGATTTGTTATGAACACAGAGATTTTCACTTCACAAGAAGTTAATTGATGGACTGGAGTTGTGTGGATGCTTATGGATTATTGTGATGTTTTTATCAGCTGCTTGGACTCTCATTCTGACGGCACCCATTCACTGCAGAGGATCCATTAGTGAGCAAGTGATATAATGCCAAATTCCTCCAAATCTGTTCTTGTGAAGAAACAAACTCATCTAAATCTTATATGGCCTGAGGATAAGTACATTTTCAGCAAATATTCATTTTTGGTTGAACTATTCCTGTAAAAGGCCAACAAAATTGATTTTGATCTTTAGGTTTACAATCAGCATTGAAATGATTGTTCCATCTCCATTTTTCCCTCCCAGGCTGGCTGAAGGACTATACTGGGATGTACACGGTATCTTTTATCGCTGCTGGAAGTTTCCTCGTGTTAGGTATGTTAGTTACAATGACTCTTCCCTATTTCTGGTCTTGTACGGCCCCTCCACCCCCATCACCTTTAAAGAAGAAGTCTCAGCATGAATCCATTGAAGATGGACTTCTCAAACAAACTCTGTCCTCAAATTCTGTACCTGAGATACTCTGTCCCTTGGATGATATACCCTACTTGGATAAGGAGTAAAAGGTGTGTTGGAAGAGTGATGTTACACATCTAGTGCAAGAATGAGAAGAAATACCTCAGGAAATGATGCATCATACTAATTTAGGGAAAATATTTTGATTTTTTTAGAAGGATATTTTGCATTGTCAGACAGGATATAGGCAACTATTGGCATTGGAATCACAAATCATATTGCACTGAATGGTTTTATACCACATTTTGCAGTAAAACTTTTTGTGGGTAATTTCAGCTAGTGAAATGTCCCCCGTGCCAAAGAAAAATTATGTGAAATTTGCTATTAGTGCTTTTCGCCTAATAACAAGACAATCAATTTGATGGAAGTTTTGAGAGAGTTTGAAAAGCAACAGTCAGTTTACAGCTCAAATTTCCAGTTAGCCTAGCTTGTATATAGTTCAGAACAAATCTGTCTTAATGTTAAATCTGGATTGTTTACTCATTCCTTATATATACAAGTAGGCACACACGTTTTTGGACATGCAACAAAAATGATTGCACTTCAAAAGTTGTATAACAGGACAATAGCAGCATAAATCCTTATCATGACGTAAATGCAGTAAAGTAACTTTGCAGTTATCAAGACCAGCTTTTCTTTTTGATTAGATAATAATGGCATTTTACGGTTGCCACAGTCAGACACCGCAGCTGCAGCTGTAGTGTTATTTTAGTATAATTTAGATACTATTATAGTTTTTATATTTTCAGTTTTCATTTTATTTAGCTTTACTGATCAATCAACAGTATCCTTACTGCAACTGTATCCATATCCTGATGTGGAGCTAATCTTTCTTAGACTTTCAAAATATGCAAAACGTTTGCATTTGGAAAGCTGTCAGTACTCGTTCTAAAAAGCCATCTTTATAGTTATACAAATAATTTTAGAGATACTTTATTAATAGCTCTAGTATTTTTCTGTTCTGAAATCATTATCTTTTTTATTTAAAAATATATTACATTGAATTAAATCATTATTAATTTAAATTAAATTATTTTATTATTTTAATTTTAAAAATATTGTCATAGTTTTCCCTTGTCAATTCAAAATCACCATCAAATAAGGATTTGTGCTGATATTGTCCAAATACCCCACTTTGACTTGACCGTTTCTGAATTTGAGGGCACAGTATATTAAATACCATGGTATAACACTGTACCTCGGTAGTGCCATGCTACTATTTCTAAGAGTATGCTGGCAAAATACTATTTATTTTAACTGATTGTTTTTTATATATTATTAATTTTTGTACTGTAAATTATTGTGACACACTTCACCTCCGACCTTCCCTGACAGGAATTTAATTATGATGCACAAATACAGCTTCAGGGTTTGGTGGAAAGACTGATGCTTGTGGTTTTTACTGTTACTGAGGAGCATTTTGTATTCATGGCTAGTAAAACATGAAGGCTGCTAGCAAGAGTTTTCTAGATTCCAAACCAGCTTTTAACTGCTTAGTCATCATCACATATCTGTCACATCAAGCAAAAGCTAAAATGAAGGCAAAACATTTTCTTTTGCCAGTAAGTTTGGTGCTGGAGGCTACTTTAGTACAGTATACAAAAGCAGGAGGGCAAGCTAAATGCTAACACAATGCTAATCCTGTTCTGCTCATGTAGAGCATTTTTCTTTCACTTTTTTTACACACAACTTGCTGTACCTTTACCTTGTTCTTGAGTTGCATATGGAGGAATATGATGATCACACATTATGTTAAAGTTACTAGCATTGTCGGAGACATGGCATTTTAATGTTGTCTTTTCAGGGTCAAACTGGACCATGTGATTTGTGTATTACATTGATACTTTTTAAATATTGTATGATGGGAATCTTGTCCAACATAAAGGGCTTTTACTGTGATCTTCAAGATCCAGGGTTCAGAGTGAATATTGATTTACATTTTCCACAGAGGTCGCTGACGTAAACAAATTCACTTAGAAATCATTGACCAAACTAAAGTCTTTGTGTTACACATTACATTCTTCAGCGCCTTTTTGTTTTCATTTTAAATGTTTATTTCACTTAGTGCAAGAGCTTTACTGTGCACAAACTGGTGTAGGTTCATTTAAACCTGGTCAGTTCTCTACTTCCCATGGGAAAACCTTGAATACTAGTCACTAATGCTGTTTTAAAGATACACTTCTCATAAAACCAAACACGTGAGCCTGAGAGTCAATGAGCTCAGCTACAGCTAGACTTTGCTTTCTCACGTGAGAGGCCCTTATTGCTGTGAGATTAACAGCACTGCCTTTACACACGGTTGTCTTCAAATGCACTGTATTAATGCAATTATACATGCTCTTTAGCCTATTGACCTCAATATGCTTGCATATATGAGAAGTGAGACTTGGATGAATTTGGATCAGTTAAGTCATATTTTATAGTTTTGGAACTACACTGCACAAGATGACTTTTGATCTAATTAAAAAGTTGAATGGAATTTGCCATCTGAGCCAGTCGAGTAGTTTTACCTTTTACCTTTAATCAAGTTACCAGCCCATATCTTGTGTGTTATGTTTTAATTTTCCAAGAAGCGCACAATACATACATGATTCTTCATAGGTTCTAATATTCTAATATGATCTTTTTATGAAGAATTATGGTATGAAACATAATTTAAACTAAGATATTGTGACAGAAGTACAAGAACATGGAACTGAGCTGGATATATAAAAAATATATAGATAATTGATATATCCATGTGTGAAGTCAGGTTCGTTCAAAAGTTTGAGGTTGGTACATTTTTTATTGTAGATTTAAAAAAAAAAAAGTCTCTTATGCTTACCAAAGCTGCATTAATTTGATCAAAAATACTGTAATAGTGTGAAATATTATTAGAACTTAAAGTTTAATCAAGTTACCAGCCCATATCTTGTGTGTTATGTTTTAATTTTCCAAGAAGCGCACAGCATGGCAAGACGGGTTTTACTGGAACAGTACAGTATAAAACTGTGTTTTAGGTAAACGGATTTGTGTTTTAATGTGGTTTAATAAAAGGCTATTTCTGTTTTTATTGTACTATTGTCTCCTTGTTATATAGCTTACCAAAGCTGCATTAATTTGATCAAAAATACTGTAATAGTGTGAAATATTATTAGAACTTAAAGAAAATGTTATTTATTCCTGTGATGGCAAAGCTGAATTTTCAGCATCATTACTCCAGTCTTCAGTCACACGATTCTTCAGAAATCATTCTAATATGCTGATTTGGTGCTCAAGAAACATTTCTTATTATGATCAATGTTGAAAACTGCTTAATATTTTTGAGGAAACTGTAGTGCACATTGTTTCAGAATTATTTGATTAATAGAAAGTTCAAGAGAATAGCATTTATTTAAAATATAAATATTTTGTAACATCATACATGTCTTTACTCTTTACTGCCACATTTTGAACAATTTACTGTGCCCTTGATGATTAAAACTACTGAGGAACAAAAAAAAATCTTACAGACCCCAAACTTTGAATGGAAATGTAAGTCGCATAATAAGTCATTAATCATTTATTTATTTCGCTACACATTCTACCGTTTTCACGGTTATTCATTTATACATGTTTAGAACATTGCATGTTCACAAAACACAACAATTGACCATTTTCAAACGGGTTGTTTTGTTCTTATAAAAAGAGAAATTAAAATTATAAAGAAAAGAACAATTATACAGGAGAACCAAGAAAACAGTGATCTCTCACCCAAAGTAACAAGTACATTCAAGTTGCATTAACACTGTGGCTCACAACATAGTGAATAAAAAGAAGAAAAGCAACTTGTCCACTGAAAATCATCTGAATGAGGAAAAATTCATTGGCATCTAAATGAGAAACACAGAAAAGTCCACTCCACCTCTACAGTCTGGCTTGTTGTCTTGCTTTCATACCATTTGGAATGTAAACTTGCTCAAATTATAAATTATTCGGCTACAGAACATCTGTGAAAAGAAGAAATAACTAACAGGAAACACCAAATGACGGATGACATCTTAAAGCCTAAACCGGGATAAATACGCAAAAACCCAGATGTTTAGACCCATACTCGTGTATGCCAGACAAACCAAATGATGCAGCATTTAATTTAGTCTACTGGAGTGTGTGTGTGTGTGTATTGGTGTAACATTGACATCTAGTGGTTAGGTGGTTCATTTCATGTCAGCGCTACGGCGCTTAAGCTTCTCTGGATTGTTGGAGGCCATTTGGGAGAAATCCCTGAAAATGTCATGATAGGTATCATCACCTGTAGGAGGAAAGAAATACAGAGAGAGAAAAAATATTAGCTGAACATTGTCTTACAATCATATTCTTTATGAGAGTGAATATTATACCCCTGTGTGTGGAAAGTGATTGAAACCTGGAGTCTAAAGAGTTTAACAAGGTCAGCTTGAGAACACCACCACCCAGAGGAAGAGCTTTGATTTGGATTTATAACTGTACATAAGTGCAGTAGTTATGCATACATAAAAGCATAGGGAAGCAGTAAATTACCTGTAGCACGCAGTGCAGACGACACACACTGCAAGCAGTAGACACCTGGCCACCCGTCTCAGGACATGCACATACACGCACGCACAAACAGCAAAAACAGATTTGTATACAGAGACACAGATGGACAAACTGCCTTATACAAGCCCCACAGCAAAACAACAGATGCAAAAAGCATAAGCACCACAAGAAAGCACACCTGTACAAATCTGGCACTGCAATAAGAGTATCAGATTCAGAGTAACAGAATCTTACTGGAAAGCCAAATATTACAAGTGATCATAACAAATGATCACCATGAACTGAGCTTTAGACTGCATTTGCAGTTTGATGTTTTGAATATAGTTATGATGGTCAATTGTAAACATGTTGGTTGAATGGTGATGATACCCCATACAATGCCAAATATCCATAACCACACCATAACAGCTGAATCATTTGTATTTTCTGAAGGAATTACTAGTGCTTGCAAGGCAACATCATTAGATAAATGGTATGATTAGATAAATAATTAGACAATTTAAGAGAGAGGATGATAGATAGACAGAATGATAGAACAATAGAATGTTAGAACGATAGATAGAAGATAGAACGATGGATGGATGGATAGATTTGAACACTGTGTTAATGTAAGTCAATGGGAGCTTTTCTAAATTAGGTTATGTAAAAAAGTGGGGTCTATATGTTAAACAGTTCAAGCTGAATTGTGTAATTGTGGCAAATTGTAAAGAAAAATTACAAGAAGAGAAATTTCAGCATGCTGATGTCTTGCAAGCACTGTAATGACCGGCTGTGGAGTTTATCGCTGTCAGTGATTTCAACCACTAGAGGCCGCTCTCGTACTGTATAATGACAGCAGACCCTTCTCAGCCGTTCCAGCAACGGACGCAACCCGGAAAACTATCGGCATGGATTTTTGCTGATAACGATAGTTCCAGCAAAAAACTATCGGTGCCGATTAATCGGCAAAACCGATACATCGGTCGACCTCTACTTTACATTATGTTAAACAAAGTTGTAATGCCTGATCAGGTCTGAATGAACATTAAATAAATCAAATATAACTTGTTAGTGTAGCAGTATTCTGATTTTTCAAACATCTGAAGCCTCAGACAGACAGAGAGAAACCACTATACATTCCACTTGAGGTGTTGCTAATAGCTGAATAAACACCAGCTATACAAACAAGATCAGATTTGTGTAAATGCAAAATGTCACATTACACATGCAAAACCATACTCAGTACAAACAGTACTGATCCCACCTAATAAAACACTACATAACATTTGATCAAAACATTATCGCAGGTACTAAAAGCACTGAACAGAAGTCCAATTCATTCCTTGCTACCGATGCGCAGTGTTATCTATTAACATTCAGTTTTTCTATACATTTTAAAGTGCTTTATCAAAGTGCTCAAATCCACATACTGTCCTTTCTTTTTTTAATTCTCTGTTAAGCTCGGTTTTCAATTTGAAATGTACAGTCAGTTAATTCTGGCCACCTGGTGCCCGGCCACTGAGATGGTTCTTGATAGTTTGAAAGCTTTTCTTAGTGTGTCCAATCACAGACCCAGTCCCGCCCCCACCACTAGAGCCCCGCCCCTCAGAATGACCTGATGGAGTGCCATCCATCTCCCGCATCTCCTTGTTCATCTTGGCTATCCGGAGTCTAGGAGGAAAAGCACAGTGGATGATAGGTTAATTGAGTTATTAGCAGGAAGCACCTCATCAAATGTACTGTAAGCTAATTAGTGTCCTTGTCAGCTGATACTCTCTAAGACTACTTACAGCGTGACGATGTCAGCGTTGGCGTTATCTATGGCAATGCCGATTGGGTCCTTGTCATCAATGTCTTTTGCATTGTAGTCCGCTCCTCTCTTAAGAAACAGACACACTAACCTACGACAACACAGAGAAACGTTTGAGTGACATGTTTGACAGTACATGTATAACAGCAACACTGAATATCGATACCGATTTGATTCAGTTCGTGATTCATTTTTTATTCTGATTTCATATAGGTCTGATTCGATTCTGATTCATTCCGACATACAATATAATGTCCAATTTGCTTACATATGAAAAAAATTCTAAGGGAACCTTTAAAATCGGTACATTACAAAAATATATCATATAGGTCTGATTCGATTCTGATTCATTCGGACATACAATATAATGTCCAATTTGCTTACATATGAAAAAAATTCTAAGGGAACCTTTAAAATCGGTACATTACAAAAATATTGATTTTTAAAATTACTAACAAGGCCCGAACTATGCAGTGCATTTTCTATTATTTTCATTTTGTACTTAAATAGATAATAATCAACAGCCAAAAACTGCTCTTTGGATACTATCTGAAGTCAAATTTAAATTGTATTTCTTATGTAAAACTGTCATTGTAACAATATGCAAATTATTATTAAATTATGAACTCCAATTAAAGAGTATAAAAAGGTTGTTTGTGTGGTTGCACCATATGTTTTTTATTCACAAAAAAACACTTTAAAAGAATCATTCAGTGAATCAGTCTACACTAGTAGTGCTATATTATAGTGCTATGTCTCATATTCTATCAAATAAAAATGAAGGTATTCATTTAAATTATTTTCTTCTGTTTTTATTTCTTTAAATCTTTTTTCGTTTGAGTCCACCTGGTTAACATTAGCACCGTTCTGTAGGAGAAACTCACAGGCTGCCAAGGAATTCTGCAGAGAGAAATACACAGTAAGTATTCACTGTAACACTTATGCAATACACACTCAGTCTCAGATCATGAACAATGGACTCTCTCTCTCTCACACACACACACACACTTACAACCATAGCGGCTTGTATTAGTGGAGTTTTGCTGTCTTCAGCCACATTGACCCAGTTGACATCAGCGCCGTGCGCCAGAGCGTCTGCCATGAGAGGGAAATGCTGCATTGCTGCAGATCGATACAGCAAAGCCCCGGGATGAAGACCACTCAGATCCTCCTCTTCATTATTCTCTGTACATAGAGAGTGAGAGAGTGAGAGTGAGGAGTTTGTGTGGTCAAATGGATGTATGAACATCATATCTGTGTGTGTGTAACCTTTATGAGAGCTGGAATTGTTCTTCATTATGTCACTTGGGTTCAGGCCTGTAGGGGAAACATCAAGTAACAGCCCACTGATTAGATCAGTAGAAATTGGAAGAGACACTTATTTTCATTGTTTCAATTTACTAGTGTCTTCATGCTTGTTTGTGTGTCAAAACTACAGTATTGCTTTCTTTCCTGTTTTTAATGCAATTTTCAAATTTACTGTATATTTCAGTTTGGTTATTGTTTATTTTGATAGTGACAGTTTAGGTTTCATTTTATAGCCATATTTCTATTTAGTTTTCATATATATATACATATATATATATATATTTAAGTGATAACTGTTAAGGAATCAGTTGGGGAATGTTTTTTTCCCAGTCATTTGTGACAAATACTGAGGTTACACTCACATGTTTTCTATATTTATACTGACTACAGAAATTCCAATGACCTTTTAAAATTGTATTAATTTCCATGACTTTTCCATTAACTTTTTTTAAAGACTGTACTAATTTCCATCATGGCTTTTCCATGACCTTTTTAAAGATTTTATTCATTTCCATGACTTGCAGATTTTCCAAAGTTTAATGTCACTCTAATGCATTATTTCATTTACACTGAATTATTACCCAGCTGCATCTTCAGGATTTCAGTTGCATCGTTTAAAAACAGAACCACAAGAGGATACAGTTTAATGTTCACGAAACCGACCCTGACTCAGCATACTTGTGCACTCTTGACTGCAAGCTACATGAAAGTTTGTTTATAACAGAATGCAAGGTTCTCTCTGGTGTCTGTGGTATAATTAGTGTCCATCTTTGTTATCAGTATCAGTAACTTTACTGGCATCTCATTGCCATCTGCGTGTAGGATGTCTTCCCCCACACAGACACACAGGTCAGGTTATTCCAAGTGAGGAGTGTTTGAGGACTACTAAAACAGTTATTTATGTTTAGTTCGTTTTTCAACTACTATTTTTAGTGTAGTTGCACTTTAGTTTTTCATTTATTTTACATTGAAGGAATAATTAATAATAAATGACTCACGCTCAGGCCATCCATGATGTAGGATCGGAATAAATTTGGAGAATTTTAGCATTGTATCACTTGCTCTGCAGTGAATGGGTGCCGTCAGAATGAGAGTCCAAACAGCTGATAAAAACATCACAATAATCCACAAGTAATCCACACCACGAGTCCAGTCCATCAGTTAACTTCTTATGAAGCAAAAATCTGCTTGGACTCTTATTCTGACGGCACTCATTCACTGCAGAGGATCCATTGGTAAGCAAGTGATATAATGCTAAATTTCTCCAAATCTGCTCTGGTGAAGAAACAAACTCTTCAACATCTTGAATGTTCTGAGGTTGATTACATTTTCTGCAAATTTTCATTTTTGGTTGAACTATTCATTTATTTACTTTTTGTTTGTTATTTCTGTTTTTTTTTTTTTTAAACCCAATAGTTTTTGTCTTATATTACAATAACATACTATGTCTTTCTAGGCAGAATTGTAATTTGCATAGAAATTGTAAATTGATAAACAAAAGATAAATACAGTTTCTTGGGCGCATGACTGTGCATGTAAATGTGTAAATTCTAGCATGTTTTTTGGCATGTGTGTCTGTGTACCCGTGAGTCGTGGCAGAGTGGCTCGGTTGGGTTTGGGTTTGAGGGCAGGGCGTGTGTTGGGTTTGTCCTGTGTGGCTGCTCTGTTCCGTTGGGCACTGGAGCGCAGCAGGACCGTTCCTCGACCAGTCTCCGGGAGCTTGTGGATGAATTTCTTCTCTACATATTTAGAACGAATCCACGACTCCTTATCTTGTCTGAGAAAACAGTTATATACAGATTATATTTACAGTGGTGGCCAAAATGATTAGAACACTAGTATTTTCACCAGCTAAAAATGGTTTTAAGTCAGTTATTTCTATCTTTTGCTGTAGTGTGTCAGTAATGACATGAAGAAACAGAACAAACTGAGACAGACTCAATCCAGAAGAACTGTGGCAACGTCTCCAAGATGCTTCAAGAGACCTGTCTTACAGCAAAAGACAGAAATAACTGACTTAAAACCATTTTTTAGCTGGTGAAAATACTAGTGTTCTAATCATTTTGGCCACCACTGTAATTATAAACACATTTCTGTGGTTTTCTGTGATTACTATATATAAACACATACTGTACCTTGGACTAGAGGGATGGGGTTTCTTGATTGTGATCTCATCAATACGCGCCTCATAGATCTTGTTAATGGCTGTGTTTCCTAACTCACACATGAGCTAGAAAGAGCAATATGGACAAAATGAGAGAATGTGGAAAAAAGTGTAACTAGTCAAAATGCTTTTTTTTTTTTATGTATCTAATACATGAATATATGAGAATGATGTCTATGCTTACTTTGATGAGCTCTGGCTCCCATGAGTCCAGCGTCAGGGATCGTACCTTCGAGAAGTGGACACCTAAACTCCTGCCAACACAAAAACCGATTCAGATGCATGTTCATGTGATACATTATATAATTCTGTGTGTGTATGTGTGTTACCTGTGTATGCCAGAGCAGGTAATGCACAGCGTGATGCCCAGATTGATAGAGGCCCAGTCGGGTCCAGGCTCCCCGCAGTCACAGCACTGCCCGTTCCCTGAGATGGCCTGCACCTCCTCCAGAGCCTCCCGACCAGACGGTTCCGGCTCCCCTGCACTCAAACGCACACTTCCCGCAGACACTGAGCTACAGCGATCTCTCTGTTTAACACACACACACACACAAACACACATCCTTTTATAACACTCACATTTATGTCCTTCATTAAAATATAGCATTTTAGCTAATTCAGCTTAATTCAGCACACTTTTGGGCATGAGTGTGCAAGTGGAAATTAAATTGTTTACTCTAAAAATAATAATAATTATTTATTTCATAAATTTTTAAAAATAAATAATAAATTCTAAATAAAATTTTTTTAACAAATCCAACATTAAAAGCTGCACCTACTATACCTCTGACTAAAAAAATCATACAAAATAAAAAAAAAATCACAATTATTATTTTATATTACATTATATACAAAAGAATGCATATTCTTTAAAGAATAGGGGGTAATGTTGGGGTTTACAAAAATTCAATAGTAGTTCAGTAATCAATATTACTGTAATTTTAAAATTTAATTAAACATTTAAATTAAAAAGGTAAAATAAAAAAATTAAACAAAATATGTAAGTGCTTTTCCCTTTTTCTCATAATAGTGTAGTTTGATTAACATTTTAGACAGTGGCAGGTCTACATTTACACTGCAAGGCTTAAGGCACAAATTTAATATCCTTATATATACGTGTTATTTATTTGCCCCACCTGTTTACATTCACTTAAGACAAATCGACTGTGCTGCCAAGACGCAAGGCATTCTGAGAGCAAGAATGCACATTTGACCATAGCAAAATATGATTATTCACAGAGCATACGTCTAAATATGCATGTGAGTGCTGCAGACAGTGCTAACAATACTGTAGAAAGATTGTTATCGTTACGTTATTATTTATTTTAGTGTAGACTTGGTGCTTCTGACATATCTAGTCTGTAGTATTATAGTCTATGGTATGTCTACAGTTAGGAGTTTAGTTAAATGCGAATGTGCGTGACATACAGGGCCAAGATTGTCATCTCTTCTGTCCTGGAATGCTGAGGCGATGCTGTTCTGGACAGCGCTGATCCAGCTTTGGTGCTGTCGCTCTGAATCAGCCTGTAATAAACAGCTCCTACACAAACACACACACACACAGAGATACTGTCATTTGGAGCATGGGCGGGTTATGCACAGACTTGTCTAAATGCAGAATAACATATTTACAGGACTGCTTACAGTCTAAATACAGCCAGAACCCAAACGCAAGAACACAGGAATCAGAAAAATGTCGCATGCTCAAAAATACACATACACATTGTATTCCAGTTCTGACAGATTTGTGTACAGACACACAGAGAGACTCACTTGGAGGGAGAGACGACCTCAAAGCAGAATCGTCTGTCTTGTTCACTGCTGGGCTTCACTGTGCATAAACGCAAGTCCTCCACAACAACAGTGATCTGCTCCTGATACAGAGAGACAGAGAGCTTGTTTAAATAAAACAAATGTGGTCTGCATGTGCGGCGTATAATGTCACCAAAAAAGAGAACATTTAAAACAGCCTCTCAATTCTCTATAAATGTCCAATTTCCCAACATTTTGTCTGTGGTTTGTGGGTGTGTAAATGCATCAGTATGTGTGAGTGAATCAATGTGTCATTACTATTATTGGTTAATGCTATGTTATCCTTACGTTACACAATCTGATACTTACATTATGTTTCTTTTGGTAAACCAACTGGTTCTTCTGAATGGAGAACCAGCGCCTGCAGTACGAACACACACAGACACACACATCATGGCCATGCGAGGTATTAATAATGCAGTCAGACATATGATTGTAATTCATCTCAGAACTCACAGACTGAAATCACACTCATCGAACAAATGTGCAAAATGGAAAGAGTCAAAAGAGCAAACATATCTACAACAGGAAACCATCAGTGTAAAATATAGATGTAAACGAATACATAACTTTAAAACGATATGCCAATAATGAATGAAATAAAATTCTATTGAATTTAAAAAAGAGAAATTGTTCTCAAATGTGCTAATTCAGTCACAAATAACTGCATGATGAGAGACAGACAGAGAAACGCTTGTGCTTGCTCACAAAGTTGCATATAAAATTATTACTCATAAAATAAATCAATTGTCATTTATTACAGCTTAAAAAATATAGCTAAAGGAATGAATGAAAAATAAGTACATTACATTTAGTTTTGTATTAATTTAGTTGAATGTTTTTAATATAATTACTTTGCTTGTTAAATAAATTCATGTATTAATGTTAATTATTTGTTTTACAATAATGTTAATATTTCTGTGTTTGAATCGCAAATTGCTGGAGTGCTGTACCTGCTCCATGTTTTAAAAGCATTGCTGGCTCTCTTGTACAGGTAACCTTCGCGATGCCATAACGCTTGTGCTTGCTCACAAAGTTGCATATAAAATTATTACTCATAAAATAAATCAATTGTCATTTATTACAGCTTAAAAAATATAGCTAAAGGAATGAATGAAAAATAAGTACATTACATTTAGTTTTGTATTAATTTAGTTGAATGTTTTTAATATAATTATTACTTTGCTTGTTGAATAAATTCATGTATTAATGTTAATTATTTGTTTTACAATAATGTTAATATTTCTGTGTTTGAATCGCAAATTGCTGGAGTGCTGTACCTGCTCCATGTTTTAAAAGCATTGCTGGCTCTCTTGTACAGGTAACCTTCCATCGCGATGCCATTGGGTGCATCTGGGCTGAAGTCCATTATGGAGTCATCATATGACACATCCTAAAGACAGACACACAAATATATCTTCCCTTAGATGCATGTATAGTGTCTTTGTGTACAGATACAATGGTGTGTGTCTCAGAGAGAGAGTCTTACTACCTTTTTCTTGACAGCACCATGTCTCTGCTCCATGTCCCTTTTCTCTCTTGCAGAATTCAGGACTAGTTGAGTATACTGGAGAAAAAGAGGAGAAATGACAATCACATTTTACAGTTCAGTCTTGTATTTGTGTCTAAATCAAAGTTATATGAGCAATGTTCACACCACAGTGGCCCAATTTGTGTGTGTGTGTGTGTGTGTGTGTGTGTGGATGATGTGCAACATGCAAAAGTCAGTGTGACTGACATTTTAAATGCTGACCTGGGTCACTTTGTTATATGTGACCCTGGACCACAAAACCAGTCATAAGACAACACACACTGGCCCAGCTAACCAATCACAACAGACACTGGCCCAGCTAACCAATCACAGCACATTTCGTATTTCAGAAGGCGGGCCTTCATTTGATACAGGAACTATTCGAGCCATTCATGCCAGACTGGGGAGAGAGGTGTTGTAATAATGTAAAATATGTGAAAATTAATGTGTTTTTTCAAACAACCTAGTATGAGAGCCTGTTCTAGTACACCCCCAAAACAAAATTAAGACTTTGTAAAAGAGCAGAATAGGACCCCTTTAAGACTGGTTTTGTGCTCCAGGGTCACATATGTAGAAATAAATCAGATTCTAATCAGATTTGTTCCTTTATGGAAAGTCAGGTTAAAATGAATTTATTTGATGTTACATCAATCTAATTTTCATCATAACAGCAGGCTTGATTTGTCTTTAATATGACCTATAAATAAAATTATTCATGAATGATGTGCAAATGAATTTATATAAATAAATAAAAATGTACATTCATATTATATTTATATACTTATTTACGCTTGCAGTCAAGGAAACATTGCCTGTTTAGACAACTATCTTATACCAATTTAAACATGATGTGACAACCTAACAAACATCAGGTTTGAGCTGGAAATCAGAATTGGGCATGTGAACGTTTGGCAGATAGGATAGAAACTCCTGAAAAGATGGAAACTCTTTGAGACTGAGGTTTGGACCATTTAACTAGATCTCAGAATGGAAGTTTAATTGCATATCATACAATTATAAACACATGCACGGAGGCTCAGTCTAAATCCCCACTGCTGTGTATAGGCCTAGTTATTATGTGACTTTTCCAGTGAAGAGTTGTGATGATAAGTCTGCTATAATTGTAGTCTGTCTGGGGTGCGGTGGGTTTTTGGACCACAGTTAGAGTGAAGAGTCAAAGTGCACGTCACTCAGGGCTGAACTGAATGAGAAAGGATGTAAGACATGCTGGCACTTGCTCAACTTCCTGACCTATATCAAGAAGAGTTCATGAAGATCACCTCCACCTTCTCTTGTTATCTTCCACGGACTTTCCTGTTCTCTCCCCCTCTCTTTTCCACTCCCTGCTGTCACTTCATCAAAACACTACATTTCCTCTTGTCCCTGGTTCTCTAACACTAAATCTGTAAAAACACAGCCACCTCTGATTTTACGTTGCCCCTGTATCCCAACAATGTTTCCATCTTCTCATTTTCAATCTGTATATCGCTCTAAAGAACATCGCTACTATGAATAGGCTCTAGAGATCTCTCTTGACATTTGTCTTGCTAAGCTTTTCACCATTTCCTGTGCTTACAGGAAGCTATGAGCAGGTTTTGTGGTTTTCGCAGGCCAGTAGAAGGTGAGTAAGTTTCCTGTCTAAAACTTCTACATTTCAACATTATGCTCCTCAGTAACATCGAGTCATTATTTTGTCAAAACATTGTTGCATAAATAATCTATCTTCAACAGCTTTTAAACATCAAATGAGCAGTTTTTGATCTTGTCTGTAGAATTAAAAGAACACAGATATTAGCAGATCTTAGAATTTGCATTTGACTTTTAAGTCCACAAACTGCAGTTGGGGTTTGTTTATACTCTTGAAAAGTTTTGAGCTGTTTCTCAGGCAGTTTTACAGTTCTGCAAGCACAGAAGTATTTGCCAACACACACAATACCCGTGTGTGATGCATACTGTTTCCTGTTGTTGCTCACTCTGGCAGAAAACTTCCTGTCATGATGGGCCATCATGTGATCTCTGAATGTACCATCACATTCCTGTCAGTAGACCTTCTGTCCTCTTTCTCAATTCAAACTTTACACTTCAGATTTTTTTTTTTTTTACTTTACAACATGATCAATTCGATATGTTTCCCCCTCCAAGTAACACTTGCATTTGTCACACTTTTCCTTTCCTTCCTCTTTTTTCAGTCATGTGTCCAAGCAGCTTTACACGCTTTTGAGATACATATTAGCTGACAGATAAGACTGACAGACACATTTCTTACCTCCTCACTCAGTTGCTTGCGGTAGCTTTCCAGTTCTGTGAGTGACTGGTAGCCTTGCTGGAAGAACAAAGCCTGGGCCTCCATAAGAGAAAGCATCTGACACACATTCACACAGAAGACAAACACACAAGCGACAGTGACTTTAAGTTACCATTCAGTCCTGATCATTATAATAAGATTCTCAATTATATATTACATTATGACACATACCGCCATTAGAATTTCAGTCTTCTTCCTGGACTCAATGACATTAATCTAAAGTTAAGAGGAAAGAGAATGCCAATAATACATAAGCATTCATAGCTTAATACAAGCAAAAGCAAAAAAAAGGATTATTACAATACTCAGTACAAGAACAGAAGCTTCGGGTTTATCCTGGTACACAAAAAATACAATAAATTATTACAATAAATTACTTAATGCAAAGAAAATGATTTTCTTTGCATTAAATAATAAATCAAATCTGCAAACAACTGGTATGTGATGTGAACCAGAAAATGGCATTCTTTTTAATTTTGAACAATATCTGCAGTGTTTTATAGTTTAAACCCTAATATATTTTATGCATTTTTTTGTGTGTTCAGACAAATGCCACTTAGTACAGTATATTCTTAGGCCACTGTATATGTTTGTACCTGCAGCACATAGTCCAGTGCCCCTGACCTGAAGGCTCTGCGTGTGTTCAAGAGGTTATTGCTGGCTTCTTCCACCTCATGCTGTTTTCCGCGAGGTGCCTGTGCGTTCCTGCTCTGCGCTGCCTCCAGGTTCTCACTGCTACGCTCAAACTCCTTCCGTACATCCTTAAAACGCTTCACATCCCTTCAGGAGAGATACAGCAGGGATAAAGTTAAAGGGTTAGTTCACCCAAAAATGAAAATTCTGTCATAAATTACTCACCCTCGTGTTGTTCCAAACACCCGAAAGACCTTCGTTCATCTTCGGAACACAATTTAAGATATTTTTGATGAAAACACAATTTAAGATATTTTTTATGAAATCTAAGGGCTCTCCCTCCCTCCCATAGACAGCAAGGTAACTACCACGTTCAAGATCCAGAAAAGTACCAAGATGATCGACAAAGTAGTCCGTGTGACATCAGTGGTTCAACTGTAAAGTTACGAAGCTACGAGAATACTTTTTTGCACAAAGAAAACAAAAATAGCAACTGTATTCCACATTTTCGTCTCTACTGCATCACTTGTGGACGTGCATTCACGATAGTATCATGACGCGAGCGTGTGGCGGTGTGGTGACCCCGGCGTGATTTTGGTCAGCGCCGCCACATGCTCGCGTCATGGTACCAAAAAAGTACCAAGATGCAACTGTGCGCAACTGATGTCACACGGACTACTTTGTCGATCATCTTGGTACTTTTCTGGACCTTGAACATGGTAGTTACCTTGCTGTCTATGGGAGGGTCAGAGAGCCCTCAGATTTCTTCAAAAATATCTTAAATTGTGTTCCGAAGATGAACGAAGGTCTTACGGGTTTCGAACAACACGAAGGTGAGTAATTAATCACAGAATGTTCATTTTTGGGTGAACTAACCCTTTAATAGTTGCAATAGAACCGTTCTTTCAGAAGAGTCAGTAATAAATGGAAAAATGCATGAGATTTATGAATTATTCTTTACTCCCAAGTTCATGCATATGTTTACAGACAGCTTCATATTATTGGTAGAGTGATACAGTAAAGAAAATGTTCCTTTAGTGAAGAGGCAGAGGAAGAAAACGCCTTACTCTTTCACAAAATTCTGTAGCTTCAACTTCACAGACTTTTGTGTGGTTTCAATCACCTCCTGTGGGGAGAGACATCATTCATGGAATGGGACACAAGCCAGAAGAAAAGTAAAAACAGGAACAGGATCTCCAGAGAGATTGTTGGCACATTGGTCACCAGTGGTAACAGTAAAAGTAAAAAGAAAGAACTTGACTCACCTCTTGAGCAGTGACGATGTCTGACAGCTTTTTAGAAAACTTTTCTAAACATTCCTGAAAGAAAGAAGCGCAGCCTCTATTAGGATTCTATTAACTTCAATCATTTTCAACACATATAACTACACAGGAACTTCATTTTCCAATTTTATTTTCAATTCAGCAAACACTTACACTTTTGATCAAGTATTTTTTGTTTTAAAAAAACGTCTCATGCTTACCAAGGCTACATTTATTTGATAAAAAATACAGGAAAAACAGTAATATTGTGAAATATTATAACAATTTAAAATAATTGTTTTCTATTATAATATATTTTAAAATTTAATGAATTCCTGTGATGCAAAGCTGAATTTTCAGCATCATTATTCCAGTCTTCAGTGTCACATGATCTTTCGGAAATCATTCTAATATGATGATTTGGTGCTAACGAAATATTTCTTATAATTAATAATACAAAACAGTATTAATACAGAAAACAGTATAATTATAAATGTCTTTACTGTCAACCTAATGCATACTTGCTGAGCAAATGTATTAATTTCTTTACAAAAAGTAATCTTACTGAACCCAAACTTTTGAACAGTCATATATACAGCTACGGAACAAATTAAGAGACCACTTGAAAATTCTCAGTTTCTCTGCATTTACTAGGTATAAGTTTGAGTAAAATGTTAATATTTGTTTTATTCTATAAAGGTCTGATAACATTTCTTCCAAATTTCAAATAAAAATATTATCATTTAGAGAATTCTTTTTCTTTTGCAGAATTTTTACAATTGTTCAAAAAAAATAAATGCTTTCATTTGTTGTGATTGCAAATCAGGGTTATTCCACCAAATGCTGAATTCTTAACTCCTCTGAAGTTGAAACATTGTTATTGTGTTGTCTAAAAATGAATATAACATGTCTGAAAACATGGCATCTTTTTTTGTTATTTGGTAACACTTTACAATAAGGTGTCATTTATTAACATTAGTTAATGTATTAACTAACATGAACAAACAATGAACAATACATTTATTACAGTATTTATTCCTCTTTGTTAACATTGTTCATTCTTAGTTCATGTTAACTAATGTTAACTAATGAACCTTATTGTAAAGTGTTACCTGTTATTTTGACCAACTGTCATTTAATGCTCTAAATGACAACATTATATTTACAAATTTGGAAGAAATGTCATAAGTAGTTTGCAGAATAACACAAAAATTATGTTTTACTCAAACACATAGCTATAAATCCAGATGAATCCAGAGTAAGTGGATTTTCCAGTGGTGTCTTTATTTTTTCCATAGCTGTATGCTCTATGTTTTCTTTTTTCATAATGTCTAGGCACTAGACATTGTATCTAGTATGATAAAACAGCGCTGCTTTACCCCACATACGCACGACCGGAAGGAGCGGAAGCGGTCGACTGTGGCATAATAAAAGCTCCGCTGCTTTCGAACCGTGTGTCGCGCTCGTCTCTCATTAGAAATTGCTTCAGCGGCCTCGTTTCGCTTCAACGGCTTTCAGCCTCACTCTGCTTCATACTACGATGTTAATAAATCTTTAATACATTAGCTCATCCATGAACATGATTTCTGCCTGAGTCCCGTCGGATTGCATCGGCTGTGGGGATGAAGACGACAACTCCCACGATTCCACACTCAGTCACGGCGTCATCAAACTACGCCTTTGTTTCTTTGTTTGTTTTGAATATGCGCCCTCTAGCGGCGAAAACTTACATATTGTGACTTTAACGCTTCCAACCCGATATTTTATACTACACTGGTCATTTTTGTTGTTTCTCATATTGATCTGGAATCTACTGTACAGTCATATGTGTAATTATACAGTTCTGGAATTGACAATAATGTTGTATCACTTCCTTCTTATTTTGATGCTGTTATGGGTGATCACATGTTCGTTTACAGCTTCAGGTATCAGCTAGCCCACGTGGGTTTTGTGTATAGTAAGTAATGCTCATTTGAAATCAGTTGCAGGACTGTTGATACACTCACCCCCATGGTTCGGTCCTCAGAACAGTGGTGTCCCAGCTCTTTGAGGCCATTTACAAAGCTCTTACTGTTCTGGCAATAGGCACGGCCTGCATCCAGCATAGTGTGGCACTGTTTCACCAACTACACAAACACAGGTTTTTTCCAGAAGGTTAAATAATGTCATGTTATTCATAACATACACATAAACCTCATGAAAACTTCCAAAACAAATTTTGTGAGCAATTGTTAAACCAATTATCATGAGATGTATAGTGTGGTTTGAAACCGTCCAGTCTAATAAATTCAAGGGAAATTATCTTGAATTGTGGTTAAAAGCTTTTCAATTGGCAATTCCTCTTTGTAGTTCCTCTGCATAACACTATATCTCTTCACAAGACCATAGAGCGGGAGACGCACGCCAGAAGAGAGGAACAATGACTTTGTTTCAATTTAGGGAATTGAGCATTGAAGGTCAAACACATAAACCCTGCGGCAATGATATTTGGGTGTATATTGTGTATTTATGGTGTGAGTCTAAATATGAGACTGCGTTCTGTTATGGTTTAAAACAGTAGCAGAGACTTTTGTACATATTCTGAAGAAAATGTGAGTGGGTGTGGTGCTTGAACATGCAAAACTCACTGCAGACAAATCTCTAGATAGATATGACGTCAGTATAAGTCTATGGGATTTTTTTCACCTGTTATATGTTTTATCATTCACAAGGTGCAAGGACATAAGTTTGAGCACTTAGAAAAGTAGTACTTCTTTCACTTTTCTCCTCAACAAGCCACATGTTTTGAGCTATCAATAATGTCCATAGTAGAACGAGTTATGTGCTGACATTTAAATCTAAGTGTTGGTGGTTTGTTCATAAGTATGAACATTATTCAGAGTGATTCTACACCTAATGATTAGTCTCTCAGCATTTCCTCACCTTCTCGAGTCTCGTCTCCAGCTCATTGACGTTGACCTCCACCTTCTCGATTTCTGCCCTGTTGAAACATAGCACATATTTTTCACACACTGAACTGAAAAAAGAATGATATCCCATTTAACTTAACTCAACCTGTTAAAAACGCTACTTTTGCTTGCACAAAACACAACCAAGTTAGTCGAGGAAACTATTATTGTTTCATTCAGTAGGGCTGTGTGACTGTGTGCATATATATCTGTATTCAAATGTGGATTTGTATCAGTGAATCTTCGCTTATGTGTGACTGACAGACTTTCTCAAACACAGAAAAATAGCTCAGCTCTTTGTGGTTTCCTGCTTTTTCACACATACAGTACAGACAGAGAGAAATATGATGCTTATATTCTTCAACTCAAAATTTAATGTAATTATTAACACAGAAACAGTAATATTACAAAAAATGCTCAAATAATTTTTTTACCATAATATGTGTTATTTAAAGGTCCCATATTTTACACCTTTCTGGAGTTTTATTTTAGGTTTTGATGTCCTTAAGAATATATATTTGCGGTATAAGTACCAAAAACCATCTCAATATTTTTTTTACAGCTCCTCTCTCAGGAGCTCTGCTGAGAACAGGTCGATTTTGGCCTGTCTAATTAATATTCATGATCATCTCTTCTGATTGGCCTGTTGTTTTCTGAGTGACGCATTGCCAGGTCAACCACAGGTAACTAGGGTCATGTATGCTGTAGCCTGCTGTGGATTGGTGATACTCACAAGTAAGGTCAATAGAAACAC